GGGGGTAGGGGGAGGCAGTTGCCTTAGGCACAGTGTCACCTCTGCTGCCCATCTGGCAGTACTGAACACCTCAACCTGGCTGGCCTGAGGGGCATCTCCTTACCAAGGGTGCTGATAGAGGAACAACTACAGAGTTGAATAAAACCATAAAAGGTTTCCTGAAGGACTGACGGAAGTTTCTTTGGTCATTAAGAGGCTTTTCTCCCATCTCTGGAATGCCTGGAGTTGCCTCTCATCTTCCTAGCAGCATGGAGACACCAACACTGATGATAGTGCCGGGAGGATGAATGTCCTGGCTGAGTCAATCCCTCCACCAACGACCCCCATCCCCCAGACAGTGTTTCTGCCTGTGAGACATCAGGCCAAGACATAAAATAACCTTATCTGAGCCTTGATACCAGACTGCCAAAAGCTGGTGGAAGAGAAAATCATGTCACATGGGTCTCTGTATCTGGAGCTCCATGAAGATTGCTGTGATTTTTTTGGGGGTGTGGGGGTGGGTGGAGTATGGTGCCTGCAGCAGATAAATTATCTTCTTCTCCACTCCTTACATCTGATTTCATCACACAAGTGTCCAAGGTCTTCTGTCTAGTGAACAGCCACAGAACATGCTGCTGAGAATCTGTCATGGGTTCATACGCAGGATTACCTGCTGTCCAGAATGCCTTGTTTGAGATCCACCGATACAGCACCATCAAATCCAAGCATAGCAGTCTGATGGAAGGGTGACAGCTGGAAAGAAGCCAGCTCAGAGGTGTATTGGCCACAGAGGGGAAGCTCAACCACATCTGCCTGGTGCACCATACCTGCCTCCTGATAAGGGAGAAGGGAAACAAACTTGCTAGTCCACGTGGAAGTCATGGCATAACACGTGCTGTCTCCACTGATCACTGAGTAACTCTGGGTGATGTACTCTCGATGGCACTTAACAGAAGGCGACCCTGGGTCATTTGATTATCCCTGAACTTGATGGAGATGAGAATAGCACCCATTCCATAATTAGGTTTAAGTATATCAATACAAGGAAAACACTTTAGTCAGGACCCTTCACGTGCCAACAACTGCTAGCTACTATTAAAATATTGTCACCCAAGGAGGTGGAATGTTTAACACAGAAAATAGGAGGCTTTAGCAATTCATACTGGTCCTCAATAACTGCAGGTGACTATTTCAAGCCAACTTGATGGATGCAAAACTGATCAAGAAATGGAGTTTGAAGAACAGGACAATAAATTTAATCTTGCAACTTGATAGACTTGGAGGCGTTCCGGTCAATGTAGAAGACCTTGCGGGCCTCAGAGTTAAAGCCCAGGCCAGCTCCGTGGCTGTACTTCCAGCTCATGGCCCGGTCATAGTCCTGCTGCAGACTCTGCTGGAGCATTTCTGAAGACTTCCTGTCCAGGGCCATGTTGGACCTGACAGTCATGCTGGGAGGGCGGCTGAATGATGGGGACAGATGCTTAAAGCCACCCATAAGCTTCAGGAATTTTAGCTTCTGTTCTTCATCTTCAAAGCCGGCAGTGTCCCACTGGCCAAACTGGGTTCCCTGTGTAGAGAGTAAAAGGCTGTCATTGCCCTTGAAGACCAATGCTTCCCTCACCCTCAGTCATGCAATGAACTGTTTCATTCTTCCTAATGAGACCTGGGGATATGGCTATTCATTCCCACATTACAGGTGAGGAAATGAGGCCTAGAGCTTAATGGGGGTGATATATCCAGATGATTCCCAACTCAAGAATGACCAGCCTGAGAGCCCACCATTGGCTTCTAACAATAAAATCACTGCACACCAAGCTAATCTGCGCTCTGCTTTCTCCCAGCACATGATAATAGCAAGAGCACTTTACCTCACTTCCTATATCACACACTACACCACAAAACACACGACCCATCTTCTGACTTTGGAACATATCTCAACCTTTCCATAGTCCAACTAGTGTTTTGTTTTGTGTGTGTGTGTTCTCATACACAATGTGTATGCACATGCAGATTTAGAGGACAACCTCAGGGGTTGGTTCTTGCCTTCTATCTTATTTGAGATAAGATCTCTATTGATTTTTCTGCTGCATATGCTTGGCTGGCCACGAGATTCCAGAGGTCCTTCTATATAGCCTCTGTTGTATATTGATCCTCTGATTTTAAGTAGTTCAACTCTGAGAGGGGAGCTTAGTAAGACCAGGAAGTAAACAACTCACTAAGTCTTAGGCAGTGTCTGAAACTTAGCAGGTTATAAGGCCCCTCCCTCAAGGTTCCATAAGCAGTAAGGACTGCAGATCTACTGAACTGCCTGCAAGTCACGTAGAATGCTCCCGAGCTCTAGCCTTCTTGAGCTGTCATTCACGCTGGGGTAGACTTTCGGTAATGCAGCTGCCCTTCAGTAACTCACACTCCTGGAACCTCAGTTAACTAATTTGTTTATCAAGCTTTGGTGGTATTACTACTTTGGTCTGACATTGGCTCCCTATATGGGATGAGTGTATGTTCTGTTGTACCTCCATAGATCAGTGTCATACAACAGACTCTCACCACTTCACGGAGTTCTGGATCACAAACAATTGTGCTGTGTATCTGGCTTTCATGTAGCTTCTGGAGATTCCAATTCAGGACCTCATGCTTGAGTAGCAAGTGCTTTAACATAGCACAGAGCACATCATCACCCTTCCCTCAACCTCCACAGAGCAAAGTCCCCTCACAGCATGGCAGTCACCAGCCAGATATTCCTCTGTTCTAACAAGAGAAGGGTCGGGAAGAAGAGGTGCTATATTTATCACCAGTGTAAAATCTTCCTTGCTAGAAATGTAAGAGCTTTCCAAGACCCATTCCACCTCAGGTTTGTAAGACTGGCTCAGATCCCCAAGACTGTGAGTGACCCTCAAGTTACCCAGCTTGGGATGAAGCCCCACCTGTGTGGCTGATCAAGTCGCAACCTCTCTTAAGCCTCAAAGTCCTCTAGAGGACCTGTTAAACAGGAGGCTAAAAACAGAGTAGGCAGACAGGCCTTCCCTCCAGGTGTAGTCCTTCCGTTTCACCCCGCATTTACCCCAAGTCCATAGTCACACTTTCCACACATATTGTAAATTTTTTCTTCCTCCTATTCCCTTTCGTACCTATGCTCTACAGTGGTTCCCTCAGGTCACCACCTAGTAGAAACTTCCCTGTGGTTCTGGACTGGAATGGCGTGACACAGTAGCTTGCTCCTGCTGTCCTGTCATCAGCTTGGCTTTTACAAGGGACCAGTCTGAGTCCACTCCCACTTTTGGGTCCTGCATTTGCCACTGCACTGTCTGCTAAGGACTGGTACTACCATATTCAGGGTCTTAAGTGTCGTTTGTCCTGAGCTTCACTTCTGATCATCTAGTACAGCATACCGCCCCAACAGCCACCCCTTCCAGTTGCTACACAGATCTAATGATGAGGGTCCTGCATACCTCCCTCCACACACAGCACAGTGCCAGCCCAGGTAGATGCCAGCTAGGGACTGAGGTTATGAAGCTGACTGAAGGCACAAAGAGTTAGTGCTATGGCCAGGCTGTAAAACTTAATGTGGCCAAGTCCATGGCCCAACTCCTACCTTCTCAGATAGGGTCTAGATGTTTCCCAAGGGTGTCTTAAGAGGTCTAGCCCCAACTCCCACACCTCCTGCATGCTCCTAACAGCCTTCCACGGGTACTTCCTGCAGCTACAAAGAGCCCTTTGAGATTAGACTGCAGGTCACCCCATTATCTACAACAGGACATGAAGTCTAGGGGGGCATGTCTCAGTGACTAGCCTCTTAGCAGCCCTTTAGAAGGAGTGAAGCTGGCTCAGACCAATTCTGTGCCTAGCAAGGTGGGCACCATAGGTTCCGGATGTCAAGCCCACCACAACAAACCCACCGTCCACTTTTTGGGTTCTGAAGCCTCTGTCTTGCCCGACTCACGATCAATCTCTTCTTGCAAGGCCTTCCGTCTCACCTAGGCAAGGACAAAATAAGTAAATAAGCAACTAAACAAAATGAAGAGGCCGATAAGACCTGGTTCTCTACCGATCTTAATGTTAATAAAGGCAGGACGGAAGATCAAGAGCTTTACTCTGCTCCAGAGCAGAGGACATTCTGGTTAACAGTTGGTCCCCCGGCCTGAAACACTTGTCATGGGCACAATTTCTTTAGAACTGATTTTCCTGTAACAGAAGATGATCCACCTATACCAGAACATCCTATAAGAGTGATGTATGGGAACTTGGACAACTGAAATACTGAGGCCCTCTCTGGTGCAGTGTATAGTCACCTTCCACGAGGACGGCACTGCTTTCTAGAAACAAGGCAGACACAAGCTGGAATCCCAGCAATGCTGCTAAACAGGCTGTGCAGCCTCACAAAACTAACCTCACCCCTTCTGATTACTGGATCAATTACCTGCGGAAACCGGAAAGCTTGAGCTCTGAGAAGAAGCAGAAGCACCTGTAGCAGAGCACCGGGTGCTCCTGCGAGGCTAGCTCAAGGCCTCTGTGGCACACCAGCAGCCCACAGTGCACAGAAGCTTCCAGGGCTTTTGCTTCCTTCAAGGATTTAGGTCTAATTTTGATTCCCCTTTACATGACAAGAACTTTGAAATGAGATTACTTTTTATACAATTCAAAATACAAAAATCTATAGTGGTTGCCATAGCATAGAAAAGCAGGGATGAGGGGAACAGGTGAGGGATAACCCAACAGAAGCAGTGAGGACAGACTGCACACGCTGTCTGACTCCCATCTCAGCCATATCCAATGCGAGGAGCTGGGCAGGAGGTTCTCAGACATGTTATCATCCCATTTTACACACAACTACCTTTCAGTAGTTATGGGGAAAACAGAAGGGGAGACTCAAGGCCATCCTGTAATAAGCCTCAGAGACATTTAGTAGGCAGAAAACCACAAAGTCCAAGAGCTCTGCACACAGTGTTGGGTGGCTGGGACTGCTCAACATTTGGCTGTGTCCTAAGGGGCTAAGGAGACCCCAGACAAGGGATAGGCCCCAGGAGAGCTGAGGCCCCACGGCTGGCCCCTCTGCATACTGTCCTGGGCCACTATGGCATTACTGGCCTTGGCCTATTGAGCAGAGCACTCCTGGCCTTGCATGGAGGTTAGGAGCCCTGAAGGCCAGTGGTCCAGGCCTACCCTGGAGGAGCCCCAGCACATCACTCTCCCCTGGCCCTTCCCTTGGCCATGTATGCATCGCTCCCTCCAAATGCAGCTCCCTCACACCCACAGCTCCACAGCAGGTCTGCCACACACCATCTCTTCTGGGTGGTCCTCCTCACTTCTAAACTTTACTCCATCTTCCTTTTTCTCTAAGGTGCGAGATGAGCATCTCTATCACAGTGCTGCCTCAGCAGGTACCATGGGAACCAGGTGTCATCTATATGGGCAACACAGATATCCTCCCCTTTCTCTACAGCTGCCTTTAAAGAACCGTACTGACTCACAGAGAAGGGTCAGCAGCCGGCGAAGCACAGACTAACACCAGGCCCCCACAGCCCTCAGTCCTGCAAGGCCCCAGGGTAAAGGAACATAAAAACATCCCAGTTATACAAAGTCTAGATCCCACAATAGGGATACGCACGTGCCAGAGTTGACACTAGTCTGTAAGATGCCTCTCAAGCTCTGAACTGGTGGAGACCCCATGGGCGTGGCTGCGCATGTTTACCTGCTCTAGCTACAGGGTCCCAGGTCCCATTTTCCTGACACTCTTCAATAGGCTCCCTGAGAGGGCCTGTCAGGATTCTCAGAAAGTCACAGCAGCTTTGGGATCCCCTGGCCAGAGGTGCAGGTGGGCTGAGTTTGCCTGCCCCTAGAGGTGTGCCACGGAATTGGACAAGTTGCCTTTGGAGACCCGAATCCCCGAGCCCAGGGATTTGTAGCCTGACGGGTGGTGAGGGTATCTAGGGGGTGACGAGAAGTAAGGAAGGACACAGGACAGGCTGGGTCATACCTGATCTATGCAAGTCTCATCCATGTTGCCTTTTTTCTCCAGTACCACCTCCAAGTCTGTGTCTGACTCCTGCAAAGAAGGCACGATGTTAGCTGAGGCAAGCCATGAACAGCCCTAGCTCCAGCAGTCTACTGAGTAAGGTGATTAGGTCCAAGAAAGAGCGGAGGGCATGGCAGCACTAGTTTGTCAAGACAGCACCTGAGGCAACAAAGCCCTGCCCACTTTCCCTTTGATGCATCTTCCCAGCAAATGGTGGCAGCACTAAACCAGATGACACAAAGAAACTGAGGCTCAGAGAGGGAAACAACCAGGTTATTCTGTAGCTCAGTGGCAGTGCTAACTTGAATCCAGGTCTCCTGACTCAATGGCTGGTGTGCAGCTAAGTTACCCTTGGCCTGCCAATGGCCTAGCAGGGTCTCCCCAACCATATTTATCAGGTCCTCAGGGTATCATCTAACTGCAGGCCAAGGACAATCAGTCCCTGGTCGATCACGAATGACAGGTGCCAACAGCTTTTGCATTCTTTAGGATGCTGTGCTTGGCCCCAGTGTCATACATGTATACGAGATGATGGGGCAGGGGAGCGCTCCTTCCCCTCCTCACACTATTACTCCTAGCCTGGCCTGTGGGACTCGGTAAACTGTGTGGGCTATCTGGGAGATGTGAAGCAGAGGGGATACCTTTCCCCAGTCTCCTGGGAGAAAGAGGTCCTAAAATTGAATGGGAGCTAGCTTTAAACCTCCAGGTTTATCTTACGCTGAATTTTGTGTGTTTTGTATGCACACGGTGCACACAGGTAGAAACAAGTAGTGTCTTCCTCTATCACTCTCTTCTTCATTCCCTCAAGATGGGGCCTCTCAAAGGAATCTTGTCTATCTCTCCCTCCGCACCACTACTGATGTCACAGGCACATATTGCCATGCACAGCTTTTTAAGGATTTGAACTCTGGTCCCAATGCTTATAGAGCAAACACTCTTACTCATTAAATCATCTCCTTAGCTCTGAGTTTCTGAATAAATAGCAGCAGGATTGGCTTGCCAGCATGCCTAACTGACCTAAGTCTACCCAGGACCAACATCATGAAACAAAGAACAGTCTCCCTCAAACTGTCTTCTGATTTTCACACTTGAGCTGTGGGTGGTGAAACAGAGCCCTAATGCATGAGGACAAAGCTGGGAGAATGCCAGCAACCACAACCACCCTGCAGGCTGCAACACGGAGCCACCCATCATCCCAACCCTGTCTGGGAAAGTAGACACAGGTCAGCAACATTTTCCTGATGGCCCTGTATCTCACAGGTGCTCCTCAGAAAAAGCCCATCATAACCTCGTGAGGGTCACAGGGCCATGGCTGGCACAGAGCTGGAGAAGCCAGGTCTTGCTCCCATTGCAGATGGTCATTTCTTGGGCTGCCCAGACACTGGCTCTGGGAAAGGACAAACTGGCATCTCCTAACATACTCGGGGATCTACTAAGCTAGAAGCAATGCTACTTCCTATAGCTGATGGCTACTGGCTCCTGAGAGGTAGACAGTAAGTGGAAGAACATGCCACAAGATATTAACACAAACTGACCCCCATTTACGGATAGTGAAGGATGCCTGCATTACTGGTGACACTACAGGAGCCTCTGGATCTATTTTACTAAAAAGCAGGTGACTCCTATCCTTTTCCAGTGCATGTTAATGTGCACATGCATGCACGAGGATGCTGGGGTTCTGTCACTAAATGCACAAGTGCCCGTGCTGACATGTACACAGGCACTCATATAGCAACCTCACCCCCGGACTCCAATGAAACCTGCCTCTTTTTCCTCCTGCCAGGGGTCTTCCTTTACTCCGTTCTCTTTCCTCTTCTTCTTTTTCTTCCTTTTCACAGCCAGCCCTTCACCAACTGGCTGTTCCACTTTTTTCTTGGATTTGACTTTCTTCTTCCCAGGGGCCTTCAGGCCGTCCATGGGGATGAACTCCAAAGCTTCACTTCTGACTGACTTCTTACTCCCTTTCTTCAGGCTGTTCTCCATGGAGATCCTGGAGTTCACCAAGAGGATGTCTCCCTCCTGGTGGGTCTTCTTCTTCTTTTTCTTCATGCTATGATCTCTGGGGCTCCCCTGCTTCCTTTTCTGCCCCAAGGCTGCCTGCTCCTCAGCCTCTGCCCCCTCTAAGCATGAGCACAGAGTATCCCCAGCCTCATAGAGCCAAGAGTCCTGGGGAGCAAAGGCTTCCATGTCAGGAACCTTCTTTTCCTTCCTGTGTTTTTTGGACTTCCTACCAGCTTTGCTTACCTCCTTGGCATGCTTGGGGTCTGGGGAAGTCTTCAGCCCTGAGCCTTGGGAGGCAGCCTTGGATAAGGACTTCCGCCTCTTCTTTTTCTTCTCTCTGATGAGGCCTTCTGCTGACTGCTCAAGGACCTGCCTTCTAGGGCTAGGCGACTTTTTCTGTCTTGCCTGTGTAGGCTCAGTCCCCAGGTACTCCTCCAAGTAAGTGCTACAGGACTTTTTTTTCTTCTTTCTCTTGCCCAGTGACATCTCGGGGACCTGTACCTCACCCACATTGATAGAAGGGGATGTGGCCCTTGGAGGAGAAACATCTATAAAATAATCATTACTGTTTAAGACTGAGTACTGAGTCTCTGGTTCTGAGACATTTGTAACCACCCTCTTTTTCTTCTTCTTCTTTTTCTTCTTCTCTGAGAGACGAGGGCCCAGGTCTGCTTTCTGAGTCTTGCTGACCATTACTGAGAAGAAAAACAGAAATAATGCAGTTTATCATTCTACCCAGTCCCAGCCTGTGGTCCCAAAGAAAGAGAAAACAGCTCCCATTCCTTGGGAGCAAGAGGAAAAGCAATTAAATGGCAGAAAGTGTAAATGCAGATTTGGTACATTCGAACCCAAACTTCTCACTCAGTTTGACTCTATGACTCTGCATGTCAGTTTCCTTTCTGGGAGGAAAGAACATATCCATCCTCAAAGAGGTGCCGGAGACCCTACAGAAAAGGCTTTGAGCACTTGATTCTTGTCCACCATCTCCCTGAAACCTCCAGACAGACCTAAATTCAACAGATGTTTACCAAGCACCTACCCAAGCCAGCACTGCAAGTCGCACCTGTGATTAAGACGTTAGCTGGCTTCCATGACTTTCTTTTTTCTGTTTAACAAGATGAAGTAGAGACATTACAAGCAGACTTCCATTAGAGCCAATAAACAGCACAGTTAATAGTCAGCTCCTTCTCTAGGTCTAGAAAGGAATTCTCTGTTCCTCAACTCTTACCATCTCTAGCTACCTAAACAATGTGGCAAGGTGAGACAAGCTCCAGCCAAGACTTTATACACTTGGGGTCAAAAGGAAAAACTGATATACTGCCTCAGTATACAAGACAATTGCAAGCTCTGTCTTCAATTTCAAAGTGATTGCTAGGAATTAATGAGTGGCAATAACACAAGGAAACCTTCATTACCTAGCTTTCCTCAGGAAAACAGAAGCACTTATGACAAGTCGCTGGGGATTCAATATATGGCTCCCACAGTCACCAGTATGGTTCTTGCTATTCCCCTGGACTAGAGACAAAACATGGGAGGCTTCTAAGGAACGAGGTGGAAATTAGGAGTCCAGGAGCTTCTCTATCCTGCACCCCTCCTTGGCTTCAGAGCTAACATGGCCCACAAAGGATTCAGCTTGTTCCTGGCAGCTGTAAAGATCTAGACCAGGCTTGAACTATATAGTTCAAGTCCATTCACATCTTGCTTTAGGGGCACACAGGAGAGTCCTGGGCCCTCCGATGTCAATCATTAATCAAGAAAATGACCCCACAGACATGCCTATAGACCAATATTATAGGGGCATTTTCTCCACTGGAGTTCCTCTTCCCAAATGACCTTAGCTTGTGTCAAGATGACATACAACTAAACCAACAATAACAAGTGGTCAAGAAAATGTTTAAACACAGTTTTCCAGCTTGACCAATAGGATGGTAGAGTCAACCCTTGAGGCAGAAGTGGAAGGTGATTGGGCAGCTGCGTGAAACCAGCCACTGAACGGGTAGGTCTGACGCAAGGAAGTGACTCTGGCCAACATGGGTGACATAAACAGGACTTCAGGGATGGTAATTAAGAAAACAGACTGGGCCTCAAGACATACTGACTTTTAGAGGATAGAGAAAGGGAACTCACAAAGGAGAGAAAGATACAAGTCCCTAGAGGATAGTGTCAAGTAAGACTACGATTCTACAGGATTGGGGGCAATGATCAAAAGAAATAACCCGGACAAAAACGTCCCAGGACAAAAATAATCCACTTCTTAGCTCTGCCACTCAGCCAATACCAACATCCTCTTTTCCATCTCTGTAATTGTACTTCACTCGGGAGAAGTGGAACCGAACCTACACTGGATTACCTGCAAACACATGCTATCTTCAAAAGCGGGTTGTTTTAGTGACAAAACACCGCTCGGGCTGGTCTGCTGCGCGTGATCCTCCTGTCTCAGCATCCCGCGTGCCGGGGTTATAAGTATGGGCCACTATGCCCAGTGTTAAGGCACTTTTAAATTCCCGCGGTAGCAGTGACTAAGGTTGGTGTGACCAATAAACTTCACAGGCCTCGGAGACGTTAATTTACTAGGTCTCAAAGTCAGCAAGGTGCAGAATATGGACTCGAGCCCAGAAGAGCGTGTGTAGCCCTCACCAAGCGCAGGCTGCTTGCTAGCCAGGATCATCCCTAGGCCTACTCCAAGGCCGGAAGGCTTGGAGAAAAACCGAGGGCTGAAGGCGAGTTTGGGGTGACTTATCTTTGTTTTTCTTCTCCCCAAGCGTGCAGGCCCTTCTCCGGGTCCCGCACGCCCCACCCGCACTCACCTGGTCTACTAGCAGGCCAAGCATCCCCACGTGAGCACCCGCGCCGCCGCGACCCGGAAGTCAGCTTCGAATTTCTGGCCCGCCCCCTCGAAATCTTTCTCCTTCCGGGTCGCAGCCTCAGGGCGCCCTGGGTTGCTGTAGAAACCGCGTCCATGGCGGTGCCCAAACAAGGATCCAGCCGTAGCATGCTGCGTGAAGAGGCGGGAGGCACCACGGACTCGCCGGTCACTACGCGCACGCCCGTACCCGCAGTATCGCCCGGGTCCCCCGAAATGCTCGTGTCACCCGCGCAGGTTGCCGAGCCGCCGGGGAAGAACCTGTGGGACCAGATCTGCGAGGGTAGGCGCCCGCCGCTGGCCGGGCCGGGCTGGACGCGGGCTGGATGCGGGCGGGACCGGCGGGGACGCGCGTTCCAATCCTCTGTGCGCCAGGCGAGTGACGCGCTCGGGCGCACTAGCCGAGCCTTGGGTCCACACTCGGAGAAAAGGGCTGGCGTACGTCTTGGATTCCCGTGCGACCCCAGGGAACAGGCTTGCAGAAGGAAACCGAGTCAGAGAGTTGCGTGGTGTGAAGCTTCAGGGTAGACACCCGGACAGCCCGCAGATCTTCCGAGAGGAAGCTGGGAATGAATGGATTCTGTAGACCGGCTCCAGTAATTCCAGTGTAGGACCACTCAGGAAGTATTTTGGTGTGGACAAATAGATTTGGATCTCTTCTTGCCCCCAAGCCTCTCTGAACTCCCACAAACACAGGCTAGATCACTTGTTCCTTTGTAGCCCATGAACCTTGGTCATAGGTTCTTGTAATAGTCTTACAGTGGGCATAACAATGGTACCTATGTCGTGGTGTTAGGAGGTAGAACCACCCACGTAGTCACAGATCCTTGGTTACAGGAAAAGTGTTAGTTTTCCTTCTTTCCAAAGCCTCCAGATCTCAAAGTCAGAGACACATTCATAATACGTCCAACTGTCTTATCCCTTCTCCCTTTTCTCTCTTGTCGCCTCCAGCTCATAATCCTCCTGCCTCAGCCTCCCAACTACTGGAAGATTTTCATTCTTGTTGTCTTGTTGCATTAGCTTTCCAATTCAACACTAATAGAACGTTCAATAATCTGCGCTGTTAAATGTGTTTGGAATGTGATTTGGGATTGGCAGAATCGAAGAACCAAATTTCTTATTTTACTTAATTTTGATAAATTTAAATAGCAATATAGAGCTACTTTACAGAATAGTTCCAGGTCAGTAAATGTTTAATGAATGGAAACAGTGAATTTGCAGTGTATAAAGGGAAGAGAGGTGATTTGGAAGAAACGGCAAAGTCAGAGGAAGAAGAGGGTAGAGTCAGTCAGTACTCCTAAACCACCAGGGCTTGCATTCCTTCTTCACTGTAGCATTTGCTTTAGAGAAAAGGTTTCATCCTGATGTTCTTGTAGGTTTTACCTTTAGGGTCCTTACCTGAGGAACTAATCTACAGCAATATTTGAGTGTCGATCGACTTATTATAGAAGTCACCTTTCCAAGCCAATAGATCTTCATAGTACAGTTCATTATATAGTTTGATACTTTTCTCATTGCTGTGAAAAATATCTGACAAAAACAACTGAGGGATTTATTTGGGCTCACAGTTTGAGGGTATAGTAGTACATCATCCCAGTGGGAGCACATCCCCTGGCAGCTGATCCCACTTGCATCCACAATTAGGAAACAGAGAGAGATGAATTGTAGGGTTCAACTCTTTCTTCTTTTTATTCCGTCCAGGACCCCTAGCCCACAGCAGTGGTGCTGCCCAGTCAAGTTGGCAATATCACAAGTAGTACTGGTGACTCCTTGAGGGGGATGATTTCCACCTCACAGGGCTGTAGTGGGAATCAAATGAGATAATGTATGAGAAGATGCCTCTGGATTTTGAAAGACTCAATACATGGTCATAAATATGGATAAAGAAACTTGTTTTTGTTTTCTGTTGTGGAATCAGTTTCTGTGGGTTGTGTTATGTCTGGGCAAAAGCAAGGAAAAAGGGTTTTAGTGCTCTCTGAAAAGCAAGGGAATTGATGTCCCTTACAAAATAATAGCTGTTGAGCGATGAAGTAAAGATGACCAATTTTATACAAGGGCACCGTGACTTCAACCTAGATGACTGTCCTATTTTTCTGTTGTTGCTGTGATAAAACACTGACCAAAGGCAACTTTGGGAGGAAAAGGTTTATTTCAATTTACAGGTTGTAGTCCATAGTTGAAGAACACTAAGACAGGAACTCAAGGCAGGAACCTGAAGCAGCAACCACGGAAGAAAACTACTTATTGGCTGGCCCCCCAGGCTAATACTAACCCAGCTTTTCTTACATAGCCCAGGGCCACCTTTCCAGTGCCTGTATTGCCCACATCATGAACAATCAAGAAAATGCCCCAGAGATGCCCACACAGGCCAGTAGGTTTGAAGCAGTCCACCAGTCGAGACTTTCTCAGATAACTCTGGTCTGTGACAAGTTGACAGCTGAAGCTAACTGGAAGAATGAATAATCTAATCCTTACACATATAAACATAGGTTTGTATAGTAAGCCTATAGGGAGTATATTCAGCTTCTTAGAGAAAGCATGATACTGAGTGTACTATGTACATCTATAACCCTAGCACTTGAGGGGCTCACACTGGAAGAAGACCCGGAGTTTGAGGCCAGTCTGAGCTATGTAGACTCTCTCCAAAGAGGCAATTAAAAGGGCAGGGAGAAAAAGAAAAAGTGTGTATGCTTTCTGGTAATCTTATCCCTGAAGTTAGTTATTATACTCTATTAGGAAAAATCCATTAAAAAAATATTGCAGCCAGTGGACCTGGCAGAAGCTCAATTTCATGAAAATTTCATGCTGGTGACAACTTGATGCCTCTCGAGAAGGAGAACTGGTGTGAATGAGTTTTAGAAAATGACCTTAGGGGCTGGAGAGATGGCTCACTGATTAAGAGAACTGACTGCTCTTCCAGAGGTCCTGAGTCCAATTCCTACCAATTACATGGTGACTCACAACCATTTGTAATGGGATCTGATTCCCTCTCCTGGTATGTCTGAAGAGAGTGACAGTATACTCATATATATTAAATAAATAAATCTTTTTTAAAAAGAAAGAAAATGACTTTCTTTTTTAAAACGAAAGTATCGTTTAAATGTATATCATCGGTAATAACTCCTTTCTCCTCTCTGGCTCATGCTGCTGCTGTGTGTGTACCTGCCTGCCTAACCTATAACTTATTTATAAATGTTCTGCAGTGTTCTTCCTCATCATTCTAACAACGACTAAAGCCCTTGTATTCTCAACATTGTATCGTTATCAATAAACTTCCTTCCGATGCTTCTAATGAAATCGCAGAGTGGTTTGTGACGTTAATGGTTTTAAGCATTAGAGGCTCCTTGTTTCCTATTTTAACACTGCTGTGATTACTACTATCAATATCCTCTTGCTGTCCTTGGCTCATCAATTAATCACTCTCCAACTCAGCAGCCTTGGTGTTATTAGAAAGTAGGTCCTTCATCCACTGATCAGATCCCAGCATGGGTCAGCTCTGAATGAATTCTTCCTCTAACAGACCAGCTGAGCAAGCCAGGGAAAATGACACCAACTAGCACTGGGTTCTGCTCATCAATCACTGTTCATCAGCATCTTCTCCCTCCTCCTACGTCTACTGGTACAAGTTTTAGCCCAAATCAATGGTTCTGCCACTTAGCACAGAACACATTTACTGAGAAGATGCTTGCAGTTGGGAGTGGGCAAGAAATCCAACTTCTTTATACCAACATATATATAGTGTATGTTTTTAACCTCAGCATTTGGAAAGTAGAGACAGGTGATCTCTGTGAGCCTAAGACCATCCTGGTCTACAGAGTGAGTCCCAAGCCAGCCACGCCAACATAGTTAAAATGCTGTCTGCAGACAAGAAACACCAACACTCACTTGATCCATAAACACAGAAAGGCACATCCCACCTCTCATGGCTCAGTGCTGTCTCTGGGCTTTGGTGCCACTGTCTTGTTATTCTCAGGATCTCAGTCTGTCACTTTCTCCTCTTCATTCGCCATCTTTCACATCTCTGCTAGCTCGTCTCTTCACCCACCCTGATCTGTGATCACAGGAGACAGCCTGACTTTGAGTCCACCTTCCACCTTTTCTTTGTTCTCTAAGTCAGGCTTCTCGAAGGAACACACTACCTCTTTCACACCACTTCCATGCCCACTGCCTTTCCAACCCAGAGCAGAGTAGCTTCCACCCTACTGCCCTAGGTAGTTGTTCTCCTGCCTCAGTCACAAGTATCTACTGATGCTGGAAACTTCCGTATTGGGTCACACATGACTCAGTATTAAACACCAGTGGCTTACGTTCCATCTTAGGGAATGTCGCCACCTTTTACTCAGATACCCAGTCCAGAAGTACAGGTTATCTTAACTGCCTCCATTGCCATGATCCCTAAATTCATTCAGCACCCCCTGAATGCTATTTAAAAAGATATCCATTCCTACTATGTTCCTGCATGACCTTCACTAGAACCCGACAATGAGGGAATGGAGAAAAGACAGGCCATTCTAGTCTCTGCTGCAGGAACCTTAGCATCCAGAAGCTCAGTGTGTTTATAAAGTTGAACAGGGAGGAGAGGGTCCTTGCAGATAAACAAGGAGGCAAGGTCTATGGTACAGAGCCAGATCAAAGAGGCGTTTAGCTGATTTCAGTAGGAGCACCCCCTGTCGGGGGACAGTCTTCAGGCTGTGAGCATCTAGTGGAAGAATGATGTGGATACTCTCTGCACACATTATTAACATCCACACAGACCAGAAGGAAAGGCCTTGTCATTTGCTCCATGGATCTGAGGCGCTGGTGTTCTTGGCCTGGCTGTGCCCACGTCAATAGCACACATTATTTCAGGACTTCACTCACTCTGGGCTTCCTGTGCTCTCAGCCTTAATTGTTCTTAGACTAAGGTTCATTCTGTACACATATAACATTAAATTCCCTTCATCAATGAATCTGAGTTCAACTCTTTGGTAATTGAAAGATTATACGGGGCTAGAGAGATGGCTTAGTTATTAAGAGCACTGACTGCTCTTCCAGAAGTCCTGAGTTCAATTCTCAGTAACCACATAGTGGCTCACAGCCATCTGTGATGGGATCTGAT